AATTGTACTATTAATATACTCACCCTCATTTTTATAAAGTATTTAATTCAATCTGACTTTAATTCCCAAGTATTTATTTCATCAAGGTGGTTAACATCTTTCCAAGGTCATCTTTAAAATTTCTCCTCTATCAATTCTCCTTACATCTCAATCAATCTTTTAATCCACTTATGGAGTCACATTTTGTAGTTCGATATCAATTAATCAGATTCTCTCATGATATTTATTATTTTCTACTCTTTCTTTTAATTTTGTATGATGAATTAATTTATGAAAATATTTTTACCCTTCTCTCTCTTAATTATTCATATCCTTTCAATTTCATAAATGTCTAAGGGCACTGCTTAAATTCTTAAAATATTTGTTCCCTTCTTCACTTATCAAAAACAAAATAAGGATTCCTAACTTCAAAAAGCCTTCACCTTTTCGAACAGGTTTCAAATATTTATTTGACAGATACTGGCAAACAATCCAACATCATCATCTCCTAAGAAGCTAGTCTCAGGAGGACTGTTGGTTTTGCTTGTTAGATGTAGCACTTAAAAATTGAACCCAATTCCACTTTAGAATCTATTCTTTAAAAATCTCTTCACAATCATGTTTCCTAAGTTAACAAGGAGGGATCTGTAAGGAGTGATTTATTCCAGACTTCATTTGATTAATAATATATAAAGAATCGATGGGTGGAAATCATCAATTAGAATATTTAAGGATATTCTTAAAAGATACTATTGTTCATTTATAGGAGGCAAATTTTAATCGGAGCAGCCTGGCCTAAAGAAGAGAATTTGAACTCAATAAGTATCAAGTTTTAGACAGGTAAGGGAGGGATGGAGGGAAAGCCTGAAGAGACAATGGAATTTAATGAACCAACTGAACATAGGCCTCTCACCAAATATTTATGGATACCTGAAATATGCAATGACCCCATGTATGCTCAAAAAATTATTTGTTGGGATATTGTTTTGGAAAACTTTCTGATTCTGTGCTAAAGAATTATTTTTAGCTTTTCTGCCCTTATATTTCTAAGGAGTTCTAAAATACTTCACAGCATTCAAAGAATTTAAAGACCTAAGAAAGGAAGGGTTAATTATGAATTTTCTCATTAATTTTGATTAGTGATTTTGTTTTTGATTAAAGATGGCTATATCACTATGCATTATAGATTTGATTCAAATCTAAGGTATTTAAGAGGCCCCTGTTGAACCTGCTTCCAAAATTTTTACACTAATTACAACTTTTGGGATAAAATAAGATAGCAGTTTTCTTTGACAAAATGAATTGAGTTATCATACTAGATTTGCCAAGTATGGGAACTCTTCTTTTTATACGGAAAAAATTCTCAACATACATATACATGTTCTCAATGAGACTTGTGCCTTTGAGCAAAAATGCACCCATAACTGCTATTGTGAGAGTAATTCAGAAATCCAAAGTCAATTTATCTAACAGATTGAATCAGATTTTGTTGGTAGGTTAATCAATTTGCATTGATAAACTTATATTCATGCTAAGCAGGATTTGTGACGCACTCAAGTTACCAGACTCATTTAGCTAAACTAATGAAGGAACTGAAATAGAAGATATAAAACTGGAGGCTTGTAATCCTTAATCTTTCTAATGTAAACAATATGATAAAAATGAAGTGATTTTAGAACATTTGAGAAATGATAAAATATATCACTAGATTTTTGATAAAGTTGATCTTATTGGCCTAGAATAGATTTATTACTAAATGTACATTTATTATGGGCAGAGAAAATAAAAGGTCGACTTCAGTGAAGAAGAGCATTAAGGTTCTCTACTTGGACCTTTTTTGTTTGACACTTATTTTAATACTGTGCTTGAAAAACTGCATATAAATCTAATGATTGAAATTAAATTAGAATAGAGAGTAGAACTAAAAATAAGCTAAAACTATTGTTTTGAGTAGCAAAAATCCTCGCATATGTTAATAATTTGGTGATATCCTCTTATGGTGATGTTACAATAAAGAATACTAATATATTAATGAACATTTCTAAGGAATTCAACTTTATGTTATTAACTTTAATTTTCTCAGGCGACACATTTAAATATTGACTTCTTTTCTATATTTGATTACTTTTCCTCTCTGCCAAACTCAATATAGGATTTTACCTTATTTCTAGTTTAATCTCAGTCTAATTTAGAATTTATTTATTTTAAGTTACTTCTTTCCCTGCCACTTTGTAGTTTCTTTTCATTCTACTTTTTTCACCAACAGAATTTCTTCTCATTGTTCATCTTTAAATAATTTTTCAAAAATAATAAATTTTTTTCAATTAGATTGCAATAATTAGTAAAAGCTTATTATTAGAATTGAATTTCTATTGCTTTTCTAAATAAATCTCTCCTTATAATGAACTGCCTGATAAAAAGATGGAAATATAATAAACGAAGATGTGTGAAGAGTTAATTACTATATACTTAGAAGCATTGATAGACATTATGAAACTAAACTTGGTAATTATGTTCATAGTTTAATAAATAAACTACTACAAAATGCTTATTTGAGTAAGATTTTTCTTACTAATTAGGAACTAAATTTTAATCCAAAAATTAATATATTCTAAATTAGAAAATGAAATTAAATAAGGCTCTACCAATTATCTATATTAAAGCCAGACTATAGGTTCTTTGGAATAACTTTATAACTTCTGGTATCATCTGAGAAATTATTCTCTTAAATTCGAAGAAATTGTAATTCAGAAATATACAACTTTTATAATTTATTATACTAATCTAAAATTTTAATATAATTTCACCTCAGAAATTGAAAATTTAGATCAATAAATTCAAATCAGAGGAGGATATTTAAATTCATTTTTATTAAGATGCTTCTAATAACTTTGCAATGGGATATTATTCAATTGGCAAAGAATATATTGATATAAGCTTGGAAAGAGTAAGGAAGTTAGCCGAAATTGTTAAAGCCCATAAGGAATACTTTTATTTAACTCAGTAGGAGGAGGAACAGGTTCAGGTTTAGGGGCCTTATTGTTAGAGAGATTGTCAGAAGAATACTAGAAATAAATTCGAATCGGAATCAATATTTATCCTTATCCTAAAAATGATAGTGCTATCATTGAATCTTATAATGCAATTTTGGCAACATAATATTTATAAAAGTTTGTCAAGCAGTTTATGAAATTTGTAATAATACTCTTGATATCTAAAATCCTAGTTATACCAATTTAAATAGACTTATTGCATAAGTATACTCATAATTAACTTCTGCAATAAGATTTAATGGAACTTTATATTCAGATATTTCAGAATTTTAAACTAATCTTGTTTTACATCCTCGTCTTCATTTTATGTTATGTTCTTACTCTCCTATTTTATCAAAGCCAATAACTACTGATATTTCTATTTAAGCTTTTGATAAAATATGATGGTTAAATGTAATCCCTAAAATGGAAAATTTATGGCCTGTTCAATATTATATAGAGGAGATGTCATTCCGAAAGATGTTCGTTTATCACTTTCTAAATTAAGTGTAAAGAAAACTATTTAATTTGTTGATTGGTGTCCTATAAAGTTTAAAGTAGATATTACTTACAAAGATCACTTTATAATCCCAGATGGAGAAATAGCAAAAGTTGTCCGATCAGCATGTATGATTTCCAATACAACAGCTATTTATGATATTTTTCCAAAATTAACTCAAGAATTTGATTAAATGTTATCTAGAAGTGCCTTTGTTCATTGGTATTGATACATTGAAATTTTCACTAAAAGGATATTCCAGATTTTAAGCTGAAAATTATTTATCTCAATTTATATATTATTTCAAAGTACGCTAAATTTGTAAATTNCTAAAAATACAATAATTTCAAATCTAGAGCTGTCATCTACTCTAGCTTTCTATTTACTACATAGAAAAATAAAGTAATAACCATTTATCAATAAGTCGATATAACCTTTTAAAAAAACACAAAAACAAATTAAAATAACTATAACCAATTCATTTTAATTTTCAGAAATTTAAAGATATTTTAAGATGAGAGAAATAATCTCAATTCATGTTGGATAAGCCGGTATATAATTAGGGGATTGTTGTTGGGAATTGTTTTGTTTAGAACATGCAATTTAACCTAATGGATTAATTTAAAGAGAAATATTTGATTAAGATGAATGTGAATTTTCCAAATTCTTTTCTGAAAATACAAACGGAAATTTTGCTCCAAGATCTTTATTTATAGACTCAGAATCCAAAGCAATATCAAATGTGAAAGTTGGGAAATATAGAGAATTATTCAGTCCAAATTCATTCATTTATGGAAAGGAAGATGCTTCTAATAACTTTGCAATGGGATATTATTCAATTGGCAAAGAATATATTGATATAAGCTTGGAAAGAGTAAGGAAGTTAGCTGAAAATTGTTAAAGCCCATAAGGAATACTTTTATTTAACTCAGTAGGAGGAGGAACAGGTTCAGGTTTAGGGGCCTTATTGTTAGAGAGATTGTCAGAAGAATACTAGAAATAAATTCGAATCGGAATCAATATTTATCCTTATCCTAAAAATGATAGTGCTATCATTGAATCTTATAATGCAATTTTGGCAACATAATATTTATAAAAGTTTGCTGACGTTTGCATTCTTTTTGATAATCAAGCAGTTTATGAAATTTGTAATAATACTCTTGATATCTAAAATCCTAGTTATACCAATTTAAATAGACTTATTGCATAAGTATACTCATAATTAACTTCTGCAATAAGATTTAATGGATCGTTATATTCAGATATTTCAGAATTTTAAACTAATCTTGTTTTACATCCTCGTCTTCATTTTATCTTATGTTCTTACTCTCCTATTTTATCAAATAATAAAACGTGCTTTTAGTAGCCTATAACTACTGATATTTCTATTTAAGCTTTTGAGTCATAAAATATGATGGTTAAATGTAATCCCTAAAATGGAAAATTTATGGCCTGTTCAATATTATATAGAGGAGATGTCATTCCGAAAGATGTTCGTTTATCACTTTCTAAATTAAGTGTAAAGAAAACTATTTAATTTGTTGATTGGTGTCCTATAAAGTTTAAAGTAGGTATTACTTACAAAGATCACTTTATAATCCCAGATGGAGAAATAGCAAAAGTTGCCCGATCAGCATGTATGATTTCCAATACAACAGCTATTTATGATATATTTCCAAAATTAACTCAAGAATTTGATTAAATGTTATCTAGAAGAGCCTTTGTTCATTGGTATTTGAGAGAAGGAATGGAGGAATTTTAATTTTTTGAAGCCAGGGAAGAATTGGCAGTACTCTAGAAGGATTATGAAGAAGTTGATTCTTCAATTATTGATGAAGGAAGAGAAGAGGCAGCAGAATGAGGTCAATTATCAATACAACTTAAAATGAGTAATTGCATAATCATAGTTATTTTATAAAAGATAATCTTTTATGTATTTTAATTAATTGATTCGTTTTACTTAAATTCTTAAAAAAAAATAAATGCGACCTTAAAAGAAAATATGAGAGCCTATCAACAGATTTATAACCAATAATTTAGTCATTATTATATATAAAAAGATAAAATCCTCTAACTTCAAGGGTGGCTACATAAAAAAGATAAATTGATATCTAAAATAATATTACTTTATAAAGCTCAATTAATTTTAAATGTGTCAATTAAAAATTCAACATTTTAATTTGAATTCTAAAAAATATAATTGATGAAATAGAATGCATTATTATCTAAAATTTTAGCTCCCATTTAACGTAAATTAAATTCATTTAGGAGAAAAAAAGATTTTCTTATTGATACTAATGCTATTTTACTAAGGATGATTTATTAATTATCAATTAGAAATTGATTAATAATGTCTTCAGGTAGAATTGAGATAAATCAATTACAATTGAATGAATTACTGAAGGTAATTTGGAAAAAGTTTCTGTTCTAAATCAAATATATTATGGATGCTAATTGGATTATATCAAATTTACAAAAATGGTTGATCATGCCTATTAATTTTAAAACCGTAAATTGAATATAAATTGAAGAGAACTTAGAATATCAAAAATCTTCATTATTTTGAATAATAGTAAATTACGAAGTAATAACTTGGATTTTGTAAAATTGAATTTAAATATTATTCTTCAAATGAAATTATAATTCTTATAATAAATAATTAAGTAATAAATGAAAAAAGCGTATAAAGTAGAATTTTCATATTGTAATCTGATATAAAATTTGTAAAATAGGAACTGATAAGACTTTTATCAAAAACTTTACATTCAACATCTCCGAATTAATAAAGCATTAATCCAATGGCGTCATGTACTATATCAATTGATAGCTAGCCATTTATAAACAAGATTGTTTTTCTGAATTTATTCCAGAAGAAATTAACTCAAACTTCAAATGTATTGCTGATAATTAAAGCTAATCAAACGTCCCATCAATTTTTGATTTGAGAAAACTAAACACAATTAAAGGAAAAATTTTGGAAGAATCAGAAAAGTAAAAGAGTAAATATAATCATCTAAGATTATGACCTTAAATAAGGTATTATCGAATCAGAAGAATAACAAGAATTCAAACCATTTCTAAGTAGATAGGAACAAAAAATAAGGCTTTGTTAAATCAAAAAATATAAGAAAAATTATTCGCGATTAAATAGGAAGTAGAGCATAAAGATTAAACTACAATGTTCAGTCAAATAGTAAAGAGGAGGTAATTGTTACATCTGATTTAGATTAATCTAATAGCTTTATGGTTAAAAGAAAGTATATTTAAAATGATATCTTTATTGTGAGTTTTAAATTTATATTTATAATTTTTATTAATTTAGTAGAATATATAAACTTAGGCCAAAGGTTTACTCTTGATTATTTCAATAAAATATGAAAATAACCATTAAATCACTCTAACTTTGATACCTTAATTGAATCTTACTGTTATTGATCTATCTATTATTCTTGCTAAACTTCCATTTTAGATTATATCGATATCCCAAGAAATTTATATTTTTATTTTAGTTTGAGATGAGAATTTATTAAGAAACAATCCATGAAAAGTAATTCAATAGATAAATGTGATTATAAATTTCGAATCATTTGAGAGTTATTGAGAAATTCATAAAATAGAAAATATTACATGCTTTTATTTTTGATTCGATTAATAACATACTCTGGTTTATCTAAAGAATATATATTATGACTTAGTTTGCATGAATTCAATAATAACTATAAAAAAAATATTTAAAACTCATGGTAATCTGTTGACAACTCGCTATACATATTTTAAGGGGTATTTTATATGATTTAATTCATTTAAAAGTTTAATAAAATTTATTAAAAATTCATGAGAAAAATTTAATATTAAATTTATCAGAAAAATGATTTCCTTGAATGATTAATTTAGGTCAAAGGACTAAATAATAAATAAGTAAGGCAAATTATTTATAACTATCATAGAGCTCTGTAGAAAGAATTATAAATTGAAAATTATGAATGGTAAAGTTCCATTTCAGAATACGAATATGTATTTTGGAATTCTGACAATTAAGGATTTAAAAAGATCAAATATGAAGTCTAATTAACAAAAGAGAAAGAAATAAAATACATTTAACATGGATAGATTCTTAGGATGTCAGTTTATTATACAAATATAGTGAATAAATAATAAATTCAATCTAAAAACCTGAAATCTTGACTAACTTACAATAGATTAAATATCTTCAATGGTCTGGAAAATACGGGAAACATTCTTTGAAAATAGGTAGATGGTCAGCTACTTGGAAAAATAAAATTATTTTAGAAAGTGGTGGATATTACTCTGAAGATGGATAGAAGCAAGGTTTATGGAAAGATTTAAACAGGCAATATTGGAGGTAAGATATAGATATTAATCGTCACGTATAGCGAAGCCCAAATCTATGAGATAGGACTATATAGTGATAATACAAGAAGGGGAAAATGGAAATATATCTACAAAAATAATGAAATGTATTATAAATTGATTAGTTTTTAGAGGTGGAGGCTTCTATGATGAGAAGGGTTAAAAGATTGGCAAATGGATAGAGTTGAGCGAATGCTTTTGGAAGTAAAGATTATTAAAATATTCATCAATAGATAAGGTTATGTCCTTTATTATGGGGAATACAAAAATGGTAAAAGGTATGGTATATGGAATGCTTTGCATAAGAGGAATGGTTACAAACAATTAAAATTAATGTAATCATGAATTTCACTTAAATCCAGTGGCTTAGGATCATATGATATTAGTTAGGTGGACAATCTGACAGTAGATTCCTTTCAAGTTGGAAAATGGATTGAATTGAATAATGGATTTTGGGAGTATTTTATGTTGGTTGATTACAATTTCTAGTTTGGCTTAGGTTATACATATTGGTACCTACAAAGAAGGCAAAAAATGTGGTAGATGGGATATATTATAAAGAATTAGAAATAATACACCTTTTGAAATAATGTAATGATGCAATGTTTCAACTCTCTTTAGGGGTGGAGGAACTTATAATGACACGTTAGAAGGCCAAGTTATTTCAAGTTCATTGAAGAATGGAAAATGGATAGAGCTGAATGAAGGATTCTGGAGGTATTGCATATTATTTAGTCGACGAGGGATAATTAAATAACTTACAATGGAGAATACCATAATGGAGTAAAAGTAGGAAAATGGGATATTTATTATTATAATGAAGATACTGAAAACAATGAATTGATGTACTTCTCTACAATATTTTTAAATTCAGAGGTGGTGGTTCTTATATTGAAAAAATTAATGATTCAAATATCGCTAGTTCAGTTAAAATAGGTAATTGGATTGAGTTGATTGATAATTTTGAGAGGTATTATCTAAAATTAAATATCGCTTATCAGTTAAATTCAAGTAACTTTTAAAGGAGAGTACGAAAATGGCAAAAAAGTGGGAAGGTGGGATACTTTTTATAAGTAGGAGTAGATGTAAAATTGATTTCTATATCTCGAATTACAATCTAGTGGTGGAGGATAATATCAAAAAGTAGAAAATGATAATTTGAGTGATTCAATAAAGGTTGGAAAGTGGAGAGAGCTAATTGATGGATTTTATGAGTATTTATAAAGAATTATATATAATAGGTATGGCTAGATCACATATTTTGGTGAATACGCTATTGGTAAAAAAGTAGGTATATGGTAATAAATGTTTGGGAACAATATAATGTATCTATAAAGTATACTTTATTAGGGAAGAAGATGATTATTTAAATTGAATGATGAGTTGATGTTTATTAAACATTATTTAATTAGATATTAGACTTTAAATAATATATTAGTTCGTATTTTTTATTCTTAAGAAATTTCCACAACGACTGTTTGGAAGCTAATGTTATTTAGAAATTTGGATTCTTTTGTAATTTGTTTTTTAGTTCACAAAGTATTTAGTATACGACATATTTCAAGATTAAATTAGTAGTTAAAATGAGTGAACTTGCCTCTATATAAGATAAATTTCTTTGCAATACTGCAATTAATTCCAATATAAAACTTAACCTTTTAGCATCTTAATTTTCAGTTATGTTTTTGGACTCAAATTTTTTTTTTATTTAAATTCAGTTTTTACTTAATTTTTCAATACAGTGAGATTAGGCAATCTTAAATTACATGTTATGATACATATATATGAAATCTTTATATATTAAGGTAATCATCAAGAAACCATTAAGTTGAAGTAAGAAGATCTTTAAAATTATTATATTCACATTAATTTAGATTAGGAATTGGCAAATAGCAAATTTTTTTGAAGAAAAGGAATATAATCTATAGTATGAGGAATTCAAGCTCTTTTACTTCGAGATTGTATTGTGAAAGATATCTCTTCAACTTATTGTTTTAAATCTATATGAATATCTGCTGATAAATTTGTCAAAGAGTGTGTTTTTTAAACATTTGATATTTAAACAATTATACCTTCTAAAATAATAGTTTTGTTTTGATAGAAATATATTCTTTATTCAATTTTCACTTTCTATAAAATTTAAGCTGACGGAAGTAATGGAATTTATAAGTTCTTTTTTAAATTTATAAAATTCAGAAGCAAACATTAATTTAGTTGAAATTAGATAAAGTTTTAATTGTCCCTTAATAACACTTACCAGACGAGCCAATAGTATAATTTTAGAAATTTTATATAAAAAAATATTAAAACACCATAGAAAATAAGAGTTACTTAAGAAATATTCAAAATTTATCTGACCAAAATTTGAATTAGAACAGGGTTAAAGACGAAAAAATTGATAATATAATCATTAAACTATTCTATCAATTTACTGCTTTTCCAACCATTTATTTATCCATTTATACTTTAGTATTTCCTAAGTAGTATCAGAAATATGGTTCATAAAATTACAATTAAATCATCAATCAAATGAGAAGTAATCGTTAAGAATTCTCTATAATATTATTAATTTATAGGATAAGTCATATTTTGGATAAGAATGAGTGATTTTTAGGGGAAAATCTACACTATTATGAAAAAATTNTAGGTATTATCTAAAATTAAATATCGTTTATCAGTGATAATCAAGTAACTTTTGAAGGAGAGTATGAAAATGGCAAAAAAGTGGGAAGGTGGGATACTTTTTATTGGTAGGAGTGGATGTAAAATATATTTCTATATTTCGATTTACAATCTTGTTTCTTGTTTAATAGTGGTGGAGGATAATATCAAAAAGTAGAAAATGATAATTTGAGTGATTCAATAAAGGTTGGACAGTGGAGAGAGCTAATAGATGGATTTAATTAGTATTTACAAAGAATTATATATAATAGGTAGGGCTAGATCACATATTTTGGTGAATACGTTAATGGTAAAAAAGTAGGTATATGGTAAAAAATGTTTGGGATCATTATAATGTATCTATAAAGTATGCTTTATTAGGGGTGAATATGATTAGGATGAATATGATGATATAAATTGAATGATGAGTTGATGTTTATAAAACATTAATTAATTAGATATTAGACATTAACTAATTGATTAGTTCGTATTTTATATTCTTAACAATGACTTTTTGGAAGCTAATGTTTTAGAAATTTGGATTCTTTGTAATTTGTTTTTTAGTTCACAAAGTATTTAGTATACCTATTTTGAAATATTTCAAGATTAAATTTGTAGTTACAATGAGTAAACTTGCCTCTATATAAGATAAATTTCTTTGCAATACTGCAATTAATTCCAATATAAACACTTTAAAACTTAACCTTTTAGCATCTTAATTTTCAATTATGTTTTTGGACTCAAATTTTTATTTTTATTTAAATTCAGTTTTTACTTAATTTTTCAATACAGTGAGATTCGGCAATCTTAAATTACATGTTATGATACATAAATATGAAATCTTTATATATTAAGGTAATCATAAAGAATCCATTAAGTTGATGTAAGAAGATCTTTAAAATTATTATATTCACATCAATTTAGATTAGAAATTGGCAAATAGCAATTTTTTTTGAAGAAAAGGAATATGATCTATGAATATGCGCTGATAAAATTGTCAGAGAGTGTGTTTTTAAACATTTGATATTTAAACAATTATACCTTCTAAAATAATAGTTTTATTTTGATAAAAATATATTCTTTATTCAATTTTCTTCTAAAAAATTTAAACTGATGGAAGTTATAGAATTGATAAGTTCTATTTTAAATTTATAAAATTCAGAAGCAATCATTAATTTAGTTGAAATAAGATAAAGTTTTAATTTTTCTTTAATAAAACTTACCAGACGAGCAATTAGTACAATTTTAGACACTTTATATTAAAAAATGTTAAAACACCATAGAAGATAAGAGTTACTTAAGAAATATTCAAAATTTATCTGACCAAAATTTGAATTAGAACAGGGTTAAATACTAAAAATTGATAATATAATCAGTAAACTATTCTCTCAATTACTGCTTTTCCAACCATTTATTTATCCATTGATACTTTAGTATTTCCTAAGTTGTATCGGAAATATGGTTCATAAAATTACAATTAAATCATCAATCAAATGAGAAGTAATCGTTAAGAATTCTCTATAATATTATTAATTTATAGGATAAGTCATATTTTTGGATAAGAATGAGTGATTTTTAGGGGAAAATCTACACTATTATGAAAAAATTTAACATCATCCTACCTTTAAAACAAATTATTGAATATGAATTTAAGTGCAATTTCTATACAAATTTTTTGTATGTAAATATTATATTATTTGTAGTTTGTGATTTATTTAAGTTGATAATAGAAGACCCATTTTATTGAATTTACTAGAATACTTATATAGTTTTCTAATATACTGACATATGAGATAGTCATTATATTTATCAATAATAATTACAATAATCACTGAATTACTTTGATAGCAATGTCTGTCATAAAATGATTATACATTTTATCTTTGAAATATCACTATTTTTGACAAAAAACAAATATCAATAGATTTATGAATTCAAGTTTAGAATTAATTCATAATTTGCATAAGTATTTAAAAGCCAAAAAGTCAGATAATATTATTATTATTATATTAAAATAAATAGTGCTAAAGAATAACGACAAATAACTCTCATCTATAAATTTAATAATTGTTATTAACACCGATGAGTGATTTATAACTCTTTTATTCGAATGTTTAAGCCTTTTGATTATTTTCAATTTGATCTTTATGGTTTTTATTCTACTTATATAAATATAATAATAAGTTAAGTTTATATTCTATAATAGAAAGAGTTTCTGTGATTAAAGTTATGATTTAGATTCATTGTTAGTGAACAATACCTATATTGAATCTGATGAAGATATATTGTGGAAATAAAGATTGGACGAATCGTCTGATAGATTTTGGAATAATACAGCTAACATTTTTAGTTTAGTAAACAACACATTATCATAGTTCTATAAATAAGAGTGGGAATAAATATCTAATTTATTCCTTGCCTTAAAATTCACTCCAAGGAAAATATTTCATCTATAAATTTTTCATCGATAATGTAAGAATCATCCATTATTGTAAGAAACATAGATGGTGGCATTTATATAGTTAGAAATTGTAAGTATTTACATACAACAAAATATTTTTGCTTAATCACTTTGATAAACTAATTTCTCATTATAGAATGATAAACAAAAGTGGCCCATTAACAGTTCAATATTTAATGTACAAGATATAAATGTAGGTATGTAATGTATAAACATAGCTAATAAGAAATAAGATTTAACAATAGAATTACTAGAATTCTATAATTGGAGATCATTTATTATCTATGTAAAATATAATGGTTTAAATAAATGTAGAAAATTTGAGAATTGTATCATCAAATCACATTTTTAAAAATGCGATGTGATGATATTTTACTTTGCTGTAGATCTATGAAACAATCATATAATTCCTAGATCAATAAGTGTTGCCGGCTAATTTAAAGATATCGAATTAGCGTAATAAAAGGTAATTCGAATATTAAGTATTATTAAAAAAGAAATGTTATGATTCACTGAAGATAAATCATTGAATTATTGATCAATATTATTTGATATTGTTCTAAAAATAGTTATACATAATTTTGTAGTTTCTTAGAATAACTACATAAGGCAAAAATTCTTAACATAATTTAAAAAGATTTGATTATTTAATATATTATTTCTTAAAAGCTTAAGAAATCTGCTAGTGAGAGTTAGACTCAGCGATAAATCTAACTCTTGAAATCCTAAAAGCATTAGCTATTGATCCTTTAGATTTCAGCGTAGAATGAAGGTGCAATTAAAAACTAAAGAGTGCTTTGCACTTATGATCTGATGAAAAGCTTCTTAGGAGATTGCATCAAAGCTTTAAATTTTCAAATTCAATATCTCATCAATAAATAATTAAGGTATGATATGTATTTTATATTCAGCTCATCTATTTATTGTGATTGAGCACAATGCCAATTTAAGATTATACTAAATCACTTGAGAATTAGGCTATTTCCAGTTTTTATTATTGTCATTGGGATCAATTTTAAGAAATCTAGAATTTTAGAACTTTAGAATCTCTACTTTAATATTGGTCACATCAATTAAAAACTTATCAGAAATAGACTAAATTTTAATTGATTTAGTAGAATCTTGATGAATCATTCATATTATCTTACTATAATTATAAACCCCATATAATTATAGATTAATGATATTTATAATAAAATATAATAATTATCATCCTAAAAATTATAAAATATTAATAGTTCGCTTTTTCATTACAAAATGATTTTTCATTGAAGATATAATAAGATAAAATAAGTACTTTGCGTTTCAAATAAACTGACCCTAAATANAATAGCCAAAAAGTCATATAATATTATTATTATTATATTAAAATAAATAGTGCTAAAGAATAACGACAAATAACTCTCATCTATAAATTTAATAATTGTTATTAACACCCATGAGTGATTTATAACTCTTTTATTCGAATGTTTAAGCCTTTTGATTATTTTCAATTTGATGTTTATGGTTTTTATTCTACTTATATAAATATAATAATAAGTTAAGTTTATATTCTATAATAGAAAGAGTTTCTGTGATTAAAGTTATGATTTAGATTCATTGTTAGTGAACAATACCTATATTGAATCTGATGGAGATATATTGTGGAAATAAAGATTGGACGAATCGTCTGATAGATTTTGGAATAATACAGCTAACATTTTTAGTTTAGTAAACAACACATTATCATAGTTCTATAAAAAAGAGTGGGAATAAATATCTAATTCATTCCTTGCCTTAAAATTCACTCCAAGGAAAATATTTCATCTATAAATTTTTCATCGATAATGTAAGAATCATCCATTATTGTAAGAAACATGGTGGCATTTATATAGTTAGAAATTGTAAGTATTTAAATACAACAAAATATTTTTGCTTAATCACTTTGATAAACTAATTTCTCATTATAGAATGATAAACAAAAGTGGCCCATTAACAGTTCAATATTTAATGTACAAGATATAAATGTAGTTATGTAATGTATAAACATAGCTAATAAGAAATAAGATTTAATAATAGAATTACTAGAATTCTATAATTGGAGATCATTTATTATTTATGTAAAATATAATGGTTTAAATAAATGTTAAAAATTTGAGAATTGTATCATCAAATCACATTTTTAAAAATGCGATGTGATGATATTTTACTTTGCTGTAGATCTATGAAACAATCATATAATTCCCTAGATCAATAAGTGTTGTCGGCTAATTTATAGATATCGAATTAGCGTAATAAAAGGTAATTCGAATATTAAGTATTATTAAAAAAGAAATGTTATGATTCACTGAAGATAAATCATTGAATTATTGATCAATATTATTTGATATTGTTCTAAAAATAGTTATACATAATTCTGTAGTTTCTTAGAATAACTACATAAGGCAAAAATTCTTAACATAATTTAAAAAGATTTGATTATTTAATATATTATTTCTTAAAAGCTTAAGAAATCTGCTAGTGAGAGTTAGACTCAGCGATAAATCTAACTCTTGAAATCCTAAAAGCATTAGCTATTGATCCTTAAGATTTCAGCGTAGAATGAAGGTGCAATTAAAAACTAAAGAGTGCTTTGCACTTATGATTTGATAAAAAGCTTCTTAGGAGATTGCATCAAAGCTTTAAATTTTCAAATTCAATATCTCATCAATAAATAATTAAGGTATGATATGTATTTTATATTCAGCTCATCTATTCATTGTGATTGAGCACAATGCCAATTTAAGATTATACTAAATCACTTGAGAATTAGGCTATTTCCAGTTTTTATTATTGTCATTGGGATCAATTTTAAGAAATCTAGAATTTTAGAACTTTAGAATCTCTACTTTAATATTGGTCACATCAATTAAAAAGTTATCAGAAATAGACTAAATTTTAATTGATTTAGTAGA